TCAGAAGGGTTCATAACTGTATAATAATAAGGTATAAATGCAGACAGATCTCCTCTTGGAGGTTAAATTTAGTATGAATTTAACCCTAAAACCTACAAATTTTAGGACAGACAGCAATTTTTTTCAAGCTCTGTTCTTTTTTTTTATCACTGCATGTCATTTTTAATAATCCACCTTTATTTTTCCATCTTGCTTTGTGTTTCCTAAAAACCTACAGGTTATGCTGATTGTTCCTGAATTCATCATTCTTTTTCTTCTCTTTTCATGTTTCCCAGTTGTTCTTTACGTGTGATCAGGTGTAACGACTATCTAACAATTACACTTCCGTGAAATCTCGTAACATTTCCAGAGAGTTTACAGAGAAGTCAAATGGTAACTCACTGGAAGCTTTACTGTAGGTTTACAATAGTCATCCAAAAAAAATATGTTACATGTCACTTCCAGTACATTACAGGAAAAGGAAAAGGAAGATTAAAAACTCAGAAGGGTTCATAACTTCTAGCCAAAAGCTATGAAAGTTACTCCAAACTCCCCTCCCTGATAGAAACATCTTTCTGTTACTGATGCTACTGTCATTTGTTGCCTCCTGCCAACACAGCTACTGTCTGAAAGTTGTATGTCTGATGCAGTGTGCAGGTGCGTGCTTCTCAGTCCTCTGAGAGGCTCTGGACTCTTTTCTGTCTGTCTGCGTGTCTGTTACCTTGTGGTACTGAAAAGGTCACCCTTTTGCAGTGTTCTTCAATGATAGGAATCACACACATTTCAAGCTGCTCATTTTAAGAACACACCTAGACTTCTGATAATATAAATCTTAGTTCAACACATATCACATTTCCATTTGTTATTGCTTTGTACTTCAGTATTTCACAGCTTCTTCTATAAATAATAGGGCTTGTCAATATGTAATTTCAGCAGTGAAAAGGAAGGAAAACTAAAACGCATGCTACAACTTGCTGCAGCTGGCGAAATGAGTGAAGAACAGGAGAAAATCACAGAAAAAGAACATTTAGTTAAAAAGAAATGTATGGGTCTGTGAGGTGAGTTTAGATTGGACTCAGGCTCGGTTAGTTTGAGAACGCAAGAAATGCACGGGGTGCATTTCGCCTGTCTTCTCTCTTCTCCGCTCTTTCTGCTTTCCCACAGCCATTCAGAGTGGGTTCGTTTGTGCATCCCACCCCTACTCTATTCAGTGAGGAGGCTGATTAAAGGCTACACAATACAGGTCTGCGGTGAGCCTCCACCTTACAGCGGAATTCTATATACTACTACATAGAGCAGTGCTGATGGAAGAAACAGCCCCTTTCCTGAGGAAATGAGACAGATACCTCAGATGAAAAATAAACTTCTGGTTTACTTGTGGTTCCTGAGATATTTCAAAGTCGAATGGGAGGCAGATCCTTGATCTTTCAGGTTCCGCTTCTGTGGAATCAGCTCGCAGTCTGGATTTGGGAGACTCTACTTTCAAGATTAGTGTTAAAACTTTTCTTTTTGATAAAGTATATAGTTAAGGCTGGATCAGGTGACCCTGTATTCTCTCTTAGTTGCACTCGGTCTTTTTTCTCCACTCACCCTTTTCACTAATTATATGTTTATACACCACTCTGCATTAAATTACTAGTTATTATCAGTCTCTTTCACAGCGTGTTTTTCTTTTTGACCTGTCTTCCTTCCATGACCCTCAACAACATGTCGCAGCAGATGGCTGCTCCTCTCTGAGCCTGGTTCTCCCTGTTGTTCTTCCTGTTAAAAAGGAGTTTTTCCTTCCCACTGTCGTCAAGTGCTTGCTCACAGGGGGCCATGTGATGGTTGGAGTTTTCTGTATTATTCTAGGGTCTCCTACCTTACTCTATAAAGCACCTCCAGTGGCTGCTGTTGTGATTTGGTGCTTTATGAATTGAATTGAACTGAAGAAACACTGAAATTTCTCCAGTGTTTAATGTAATAAAGGTTGTTATGGGATTAAATAAAGGTCTTTACATGCATACTATAGTCTCTCCAATTATTTTGGAGTGATTTATTCTTAAAATGTAATTTTACTCATCCACTTAAAATACCTGTATTTTCCATATTACAGTGTATTGAAACAACCTTTTTTTCCAGTATCATGCCGCTTAAATCTATAGTAGTGTTCTCCGGATTACCTCATTCTCTTTTCCTTTTTTTCTCATCTTGCTCCCAGAACTAACAAAACTTAATTCAATCAGCTGGCCCCCGAAGATGTATGTACAGACGGACAGAGACCCCACCGCAATTAATACAGCCCGCAGGACATGTGTGCATTCATGTGCGTGTGAAATTCAGAGCACCTGCTGATTTCTACAAGGTACTGTAAGCCTCCATCTGGTTATGCTTTGATCTAATCTGAGTGAAAGGGGGAGAGAGAGAGAGAAGGAGACAGCAGATGAAGAAACGGTAAGACTGGCTAAAGAAAAGCATGGGAAGAGAAAGGGGAAACAATCAAAAAGCAGGGGGGAAAAAGCGAAGATTTGGAAGGGATGGAGAAAATATTTTAAAGGTCATCTACCTCTGTTGTCTTTGAGGGAAAAGTTATGGTTATGAGCAACTTCTGGAGCAAGGTTGAATGTGAAGTGTTGTCTGTAAGCCATCTCATCCTTGTCCACTGCGCTCAATGTTTCGATAACCTAATACAAACAAATTAAAATGCAATTGGAAGGAAACAAATGAATGTAAATACTGTTTCTGGATACATTTAGCTTCACCATCATCCCACCAAACACGTGCATTTTTTAAAGAATTTATCATCTCACACAGAAAGCCTCACCTTTCCCGGTGCGACAGTTTCACACATGAGGACCTCATTGTTGGTCGCGAACTCTGGAGGGTTGTCATTAACATCTTTCACTTTGATGTTAACCCGCACTTTGGTGTCTTGGTGATGGCCCCCTGCATGTATAGTACACACAGTGCAGTGCAAAATCATCACTATTCTGCTCCATATAAAAATCCAAAGCAGTGTTAAAGTTATTAAAGCCAGAATGCCATTTTTATGTGAATTATTTGTGATCGTCTGCGTGTCTGCATTGTAATCCGCATTTGGCATCGAGTGAATGGAAAGACTGAATATTTTTCATCAAAATTGCCTGTCAATCAGTCAGCCACTCAGCCAGCTTTTTATTTTTTTGATTTGCAAAAATTATAGACGAGTTTCTGAGACATCAAGAAAAAATACAGTCAAACAGAATGGCACTCATCTAGTTGCAGCTCCCAGAAATGTCAAGTTATGCCTGCTGAAGATTAAATGAAGAAAAAAAAATGTGATGCAGACAGAATGATGTCTAAACAGCCAAAACAGACACAAATAATACAACATCCAGAATATTAACTCAGAAAGATGGAGTGCACTTTTCTTGCTTTTCATCTTTAAAAAAGAAAACCCATCCATTTCAGTGCTGTACTGCCTTGCATATTTGCAATTCTAGTCAGTGTGATTTTCCACTACCCTGTCATTACTAGGCATTTATTTAGCTTCCCAGGGTCTGTGTGTGGTTAGCATAGCCTGCAATGGTCCTAGCATTGTGGGCGGCAAGTCCGTTTCCATCTGTCCGTCTGGCGTCTAGCACACCACAGGGAAACCACGCAGCACTCTGCTAGTTTGAGCCCCAACCACAGAATACCAGGGTGGGGCCTCTGTGGCTTGAGGGAGGGTTGTTGGGGCTAAAGCCAGGGAGGGAAAGCTCCGGAGGGCCTATGGGTTGACTGGCATCTCCCCTGTTTCTCCCCCACGTATGCACTACAGTCGACTGTTAGGGTGGAGCTCATAATTAAAAGTTATAGCGGTGCTTTAACTGTATTTACTTCTCTTTTCATTGCTGTGGAGTTTTCACCAAAAATCTAACTTTTATATAAAGTAAACTAAAAAATAAGCTCATTTAAAAAAAACAAAAAACAATTAAAATTAAGGAAAACAGTTTAGGTCTTGTTGTTGCCTTTTTTCTCTACTTGTTCTTTGCCCCTTATACATTTAACATTTATCAAAAGCCAGCTCAGTGTAGCAGATCTTAGTTTTCATTTCTGGCTAGTTGCATACACTAACATTAGACACATTCCACTGAGTTATAGATGGGTACACTTATCAGAATGATACCACTAAGTCTCAGCTGTAAAGCGTGAAGTCAGTTCACCCCCTCTGATTCCAGACATGTAATTAGTTCATCAAGATTTAGGCTTTTTGCTGCTGACAAACATAGCAAAAGGGTTAACTTTAGTCCCACCAAGAGGAGAAAAAAATTACAGCCCGCAGCTTGAATCCACTTAAAGTCTGTACATAAGATGTCATGGAGTGTATCCAGCACCGCAGGACGACAGCCCGGGTTTCGGATGCCAGCAAATGTACAGCCTGGTGGCTATCTGGGAATTTTCCATCTGTTTGTTCTTGTTTGACTTTTTCTTCTCATACTACATCAGCGTGTGTGGTTTCAGTAAGAGAAATGACACAAAGGCTAAGTTCAAACACAGGGAGAAGCTCATTAACTCCCAGAATGGCTGAAAATCAAATAAAATTTGCACTTAGGTGTTGTTTCACTTCACATTCAGTTGTATCATAAGGGTGTCTGAGTCCAAACTGTATATATATTAACTTTTGCTATGCATATAATGATAATTAGAAGTGTGTCTGTGTAGGCAATATTTAACAGATCTATAGGGACTCATTTACCACACATCAGAATCAGCCCCAGTTGTCTTGTATTTCAGAGTGCATACATACCAATCTCTGTAGCTGACACAGATATATTATGCCAGGGCTGTGTTTCTCTGTCCAGTGGTCTTGTTGTGGTAATCATGCCATCTTCTGCGTTTATACTGAAGAACTGCTCTACATCTGTGTACCGAGGGATCATGTACCTACACAGAAAGGACTCATGAGCTATCGGCATTACACATACAAACTAATAGATTAAAAAAATACTACAATATGCAATACATATAGCATGCAGTGTTTTCATTTTGTACTATTCTGATAGTCTAAATCTATTTTTACAAAATGAGTCTTGTTATGCCTTTGTTGTCTTATTTTGCATCCTTGCTCTGTTGAAAACATCTTTAATAGATAATATTAAATAAAATATTCTACAGCCTAACATCTCTGAGTCATATTGTTTGCTCAGTGTGGCTGAATGAAGGCTGAAAGTTTTTGTTTTGTTTTTGTGATGTTCCACAGTGAAAAGGCAGTTTCTTTCACTGCTACGAGCCTGTCTTAATTAACGTGTTTGTGTGTTTTTATAGCGTGAACATCTCTGTTACCTGACAGGATTGTTGGCAACATCAGTGTCCTTAGCATGAACTCGCCCCACCGGAGTGCCTGGAGGGGCATTCTCCTCGACCTCAAAAGTGTAACTTGGAGCTATAAAGACAGGAGGCTCATCTGCATCCTCCACTGATATCTACGAGCATAAACACACAATAAGCAACAACCTGTAAGGAAGTTTCTCTGATATTTGTCTTTTTTTTTTTTAAGTCTCAAACTCGTGTCATATATTTGTTGTTTTTATCTGTACCTTTATTGTGGCTTCATCTTTGTAAGGGCCCCAGGCAAGGAACTGGGGGTCAATGTAAGGGTTGGATCCTTCCACCTTCAGAGTGTATGACCTTTTTGTCTCAAAGTCCACCATCTGAGAAAAGGAAAGGAAATAGAAGCTATTAAAACAGCCCCCTCCTGTTTTTAACTGTAAACACTTGAAACCTTCTTTTTTTTTTTTTTTTTTTGTCTTTTAATTAGTTTTATCTGCAGGAAAACACACATTACATCATTTGCTTTGTGAAGCGTATGTGCGCACTGTGCACTTTTAAGGCCTTGTGATAGGGGGAGCTGTTGCTGCACGAATAACAGCAGACACATTATTAGTTGCAGTACTACAACTATCACAGACCAACAAAAGTAAAAGTAATCCAAATACCAACTTTAATTTCCAGATGGTTTGCACTCTATGATATAGCATATGATATGATTATTTTGGGACCAGAATGAATCATTGGGTTGTTTCTTTCCTGGCTTTTTTTTTATTTTTATCGCCAGATGAAAACAATACCTTTCTGCCTTTAATGAGCTGGGATTAGGTTTGGGATTTTGGGACACCACATGATAAAGGGAATGGAAAGCAGGAGATGAAGCTTCAATCTAAGACCAAAAGAACAGCAGGCAGGTGACAGTTAGATTATTTTATCTATAATAATATCATCTAAATATCCATCCTTCAGGTAGAGAGAGGTAAATTAAACCTTACTTTACCATTTAAAGTCACTGTCATTGTTTTACAATACCACTGGCAAGATTTAATACGCTCTTATTGAACTCAGCTTCAGCTCACTTACTGAGTATTGGTAGAAAACCCACTCACTTTTAATAGCCTCGATTTTAAATTGATTTGAGTGTGTGCTTTGAGGTATTATGCTCAATGTCAAAAGCGTACATTTTCCTCACATCACATTTCCATTCAGTCATTAAATAATTAGCACATCAATTATAAAGCCATGACCCTCATCCAAATAGTCAGCCTCATGGTATGCATCTAATGAATTTTCCTCTCCATCCTACTGACTCCTTTTCTGATGTACAGGCTATATGCTACTGCAGGGGAAACTTTGGAGTCAACAAATGTGTTGGCAAGGATTGTATAAAAGCTGTGATGCCCAAGAGGTTTTCGCTGCTATTATTACGAGGACTCGTGTGTTGCCAACAGCACTTGGCTGTGACTTCATCTGCAGCCCCCTCGTAGCCATAATCATAGTAGTAACACTCTTCTGGGTATCATTGCTGTATTATAAACCCAGATAATAACCACTTTCCCTTGCTACTATTTTTCCAGCTGGTATGGGGACGTTAAACTGGCAAAGTCCCAGGAGCAAGCTTGATCTTTTCATTTTCAGGCTACCAACACTTAATGAAATCCCAGTGGGAGAGAGGGCTCATAAGCACAGTGTGAACCGTTAAAAGCAGAGAGAAGCTACTAGAGATTTATGAGGTTGACAAACTGGATGCTAAACAAGTCTACCGAAAGTAAATATTACGGATTTAAGCTGCTGATCGAAATGATTATCCTTTGCTGTGTGTTGAAGGCAGGCAGTCCAACTTATCGCGGCTACATTGCCGAATCTAATATCGCACTGAAGGGATAAAATCCAAAGTGCGGTCCGTGATCCAACATGGACGCAGGTAGATAATACCTTCTCTCAGTGGATTCTTCCACACTCATTCAGTTGCAGTACTATTCCACTGCTGTTGTCGGTGAAGGTGTTTAGTGTGATGATAGGTACAATAGTAGTAGAATAGATGTGACCCAGTTCTTTCATTTTCCCTTTTGCGTCATACTCTCACAGTCTCGTTTGTGCACTCTCTTTTTTTTACCCCATATCCAGTATTTTCATTCTCTCCCTACTTTTGTAATCAGTGTGAGATGATAATAATAATAATAATTTTCACTATACTGTCCCCCCTTCCTATTGCCTTCTTGAAAACACAAGCAAACACACAGCTTCTTAATATTCTGTGGACTGGTTTCGTCAGGACACAGTTGAAAGAGAATAGCTGATTAAAGCTCATCCCTGTGTGTGTGTGTCTGTGAAGAAAGTGAGAGAATAGAGATTAGCGAAGGCTACTCTTGACGTGTGAGTCTGCACGCGTGCTCTTGTGTGTGCAAATGAGTGCCTTTAATTTTGCGTGGCACTGCCTTCGGGGGGCAAAAGGCATTGATTTCCCCCGAGAGGCATCAAGACCCAATAATCTCAAATGTGCACGTGCACGTACACAAAATTACTACACAAACCCTGAGCTGAGATGCCATCATCAGATTGAGAGGAGTGTAAGTGAGGCTAGCAAGGTGAGAGCACCTCTCATTTGTCCTAATGCTCAGTTTAAATCACCATCAGGCTATTAAGCTGTTATTCCAAGAGACACAGGGAACTGTGACAAAGGATGCTCATGTCAGTCAGTGGCTTTGCACACAAACAGCATTTAAATGGGCATGGAACTGTGATTAGCTCAAGGCCATAAACTGTATATAAGAGATTGGCACAGCTACAGTGACTCCAGACTGCTAATGTTAAAGTCTCGACATTAGCAGTCTGGCTGCCACTGCATTGGCTGTTGGAACCAGAAGTGACCAAATTTTGATCACAGGGCTGGGTGCTAAGCTAGCTTCATGAACTGTGTGGGTCGAACTCACAGACACATGCAACCACTAATTAGTGCTAAGTAACAAAATAAAGTACAAGACTTTCACTCACCGAAACATAAACTGGTTACATGGTCTGCACCTTGTTATTTGTGGGGTAATTCCACAAATTATACAAATACGGCAGTTACTGGCATTAGCATTGACAACACCTTGACAGCCATTGATGATAGCTACCTATGTCTTCACACCTGTCAATCAAAGTTTCACAGTTAAAACCGTATGTGTCTGTGCGGTTGTTATAAAGGGGAAAAGTATCCATGGAGGCCAACGTTATTTTAGCACCAGGCTTTAAAATCTGCTTTTAGTTTAGTTGGACATTTTAACCACAGATTGTAGATCAAAAACGGTCACCATGACATCACCCACTGGTTAGCGAAGTCCCATTGTGAACTCTCAAGCGGAGCATTTTTGTTGTTTGCTATCCTGGTGTTTCGGCGTGATGAGCAAAGGGAGGATCTGTCTGTCAAACCCAATGACAGAGCAGCTGTAGAGATTATATATCTTATCTCATTGGAGTAACTAAAAAGTGTTGCCGGGTAGAAAGACATTGTGCCTAGCATGCAGGTACTGTAGACCTATTTTGGATAAGTAATGGATGGAAATGTGAGCAAAGCCTTCAAATGTTTCAATTTATTTAAATTCAGTCATTGTTTAAACAAATTCATGTATTTAAATGATTCTAATTTTTGTGTCACAAAGATTAAATTGTGTCTTTTTCTGTTCTTGCACACATGTATGCACATCTGCATATGCGTCTAACACTGCTGTTACAATGAGGTCACTTGTCTATACTTTCAGCTGTGTTGAGTAAGATGTTTGTCACTTTTAGCATTTCACAAGCAGAGAGGGTTCTTTGCGCTTGCTGTTGGATAAAGCCAAACACACGTGCACACACAACTGCACCCACACAAACATAGTGCACCACTTTAGTGTAATCAGTTGATCTCATTTCTTTGATTGGAATCCCTTGCTTTTTTCTTAAAAGCCCAGCTAGGGCTGTAACATCTGTCCACCCAGCCAAGGGTTTCTAACAACTTCTTTGTGGGAATCATGGATAAAAGTGTCAGTATTTTTGACTGTTCCAGTCTGTATTTCAGATTCTCTTCAAATCTAATAATGCTCTCCTGAGAGTTTTCAGTCATAACCATGCTTGTATACTATTAGGTTATGCCTAAATTGTGAGTTAACTGCTTTGCTTCAGGGAACACGAATGGTAGCTATCAAGAGAGGAGAGCAGAATTATCACTCACTCATTTCTGTGTCTTAGTGACACCAGTGGGAAGAGTACTCCTAACCCTGGCAGTCTTAATGCCATCCTAGAGTTCTGACTTGGAAAGGATTCACTCATGCAGACAATTGTGAGGGAGGAAGAAAAAAAAAAACATGAAACTGACTTGTATCGATTTATGCACACAGAGATTTTCCCACAGCATCAGTAAAAGCGAACTGCGGGTTAAGGGTGGCTGTTCTTTTAAGTAACGTCATTGCTGTCTGGATAGGGAATGCAACTTACCACAAATGGCATCGTAAATCATCCAAGCATATAATTACATATTTCAATATCAAGTCTTTTACTAAATTGGACTTGGTTTGGAATTTAGGAAGAAAAAAAGTCTTTCTGTCCCATTCTGAACAAAGAGAGATTTGAGTGTACATTTCATTACTATTTTTCCTGACACATTAACAATATGACCATAAAGGCTTTTTCTTTTTTTTAACTGAGAGATTCAGGGGTCAGATGTCCTGGGAGGGAGAAGCAGACTAGTGCAGCTCAGTGGAAGATTCAGCTCATAATCCTGACCTGAAGCTACATATACAACAATGCTTGTGTGTGTATATTTGTGTGTGTGTGTGTTGTTCGTCAAAGAGAGAGAGAAAAAGAAGAAATGAGTGAAATTCTGCGTGTCTGACAGAGCATTGTGTGCATTTCCGATGGCCGGATCGACGGGGTACAGTTGAGAGAATAAGGGACTGGTTGTGTGCAGGCATTAGAAAGACAGAGAGACTGAGAAAAAGTAATTGTGTGTGCTGAGCTGGATCACTGAAAGCCACAGTTGTACTGTGTGCATGAGTGTGCATGTGTGGGTTACAGTAACAGTGCAGAAGATGAGCTCTGTGGCCTAGGGAAGCATGAAAGTTAATGCACTCTCACTCTCGCAGACACAACCATGGACTTTGGTGGTCATATCAAACAATATGAAACTGAAGGTTCAGGGATGGAAATAGAACAACATTTCTGAGCTGCTTCAACCCTTTGCTTGATCTTTTTATTTCTTTTTTTCCCTTTACTTGGCTTCACTTATTTCCTAATGCAGTACTTCAACACACAAATATGGACAGTGGTTTAAGTCTGGCTTGGCTGAGGCTAACATTAAACTGCTTTTCCTATAGAAAAAGTGCTGACTCAACTACATTTCTCTGCTGGCAAATTGAAAAGTGTGCAATGACGCACGCATAGTTTCCATAAGAGCTAGCTGTTGAAGCAGCCACTGTCAAATAACAGACCTTTGACAAAACGTTCATTACCAGAAAGTCATATAACTGTAACCTGCAGTGTAAAAGGCAAGCAAAATAGAGTTAAATAACTTTCTAATCCGTTAGACATTTATATTTAATTGGAAATAAAACAAATAATGTTGAAAATGAGAAATGGCATTCTCTTTTTCCAAAACGTTCATTGCTTAAAAATGCTTAAAATCTATGTAAAAGACTGCATGGGTAAATAGTTCCAGATGAACATGTAATAATCTACCAATAGGAGCAAGTTTAGGGATTTCATCATCTAAACTATATAATATCATTAAAGGATTCAAAGAATCAAGACAAATCTCTGTAGGGAAAGATAACGTCAAAAACCAATAATGAATGGCCATAATCTATGGACCCTTGGGTGGCACTGCATTAAAAACAGGCACTGCTCAGTAATGGAAAACACTGCATGGGCTCAGGAACTCTTCAGAATTTCACTGTCAGCAAACACATTTGTGGATGTAACATTAAACTAAGTTAAAACTCAACTCAACCATGCAAAGAAACCGTTTATAAATAATGTCCAGAAAAGATGCTCCGATATCTTGAAGGACATTGAAGATGGACTCGGGTGAAGTGAGAAACTATCCAACTGTAAAAATAAAAGTTGAAAGTGTTTTTGGAGATCATGGAGGAGCACAAGGACAGGGATTTTGGGGCTTGTTATCTGCACCCATTTCTAAACCCAGCACCGGTGATAGTTCTGGATTACTTTATTAGTACACATGGGTATCTCTGTACTGAAGGAAGAACATACCAAAAGGCTAATCTACTACCAACTACCCAAACAGAAAGTGCTTAGTCTAACTTTTTCGCATGTATATTTACTTGTGTAAATTCTGCAGTAGTTTGCATAA